CAGTTTGAGAACTAAGATGCACCTGACCCAAGCCATGTATTTTCAATTGCCTCATATACATGAGAAAATAGTACAATGAATAAGAACAGAGAAGTATTATCAATGTATTTGAATTATGTTGTTGGAGAATATTTAAAGTACCATGGACTGCCAGAAGAACAGGGAAGAAGTACATTCAGAGTGCTCCTTAGAAGCCAGGATGGCAAGAGTTTCTCTCTCGTACTTTGGACATGTCGCAGGAGGGACCAGTCACTGGAAAAGGACATTATTGATAGTTCAGAGAAAAAGAGGAAGACCCTCAACAAGATGGATTGCGCAACAATGGGCCCAAACATAACAGCTGTAAGGATGATGCAGGACTGGACAGTTTTGTTCTGTTGTGAATAGGGTCACTATGAGTCAAAACTGACCTGAGGCATCTAACACTTAGTAACTGATGCAAGTTGGGAGCTAAGATTTCTGGTCTGGAGTACTAAAAGGGGATGATGCTTTTAACAATATCTGATTAAACTGGTCAAAAAAGGCTAAACCTTGAAACCACAAAACCTCAGTGGTTTCTAAGGTTTCTCATTCATGTCATAGTTCAACGTGGGTCAACAGGGTTGCTTTACTCTACACAGTTATTCAGCAACCTTGACCCCTTCACAATATGGCTTCAAGTTTTCTAAGGTTTTACTATCTTATGTATTTCTGTCAACCGATGGAGAAAAGAGATGATGAAAATTACACACCCATTTTTAACTGTCCCACCCAGAAATGATATTCTTCCTTCTACTCACATTCTATTGGCAACAATGAGTCATATGACCCCATCTAGATTCAAGAAGTTGGAACGTATTCTCCCTGTAACCAGGAAGAAGAGGAGTACATGGATACTGGTGAGCAATAACAACCTGTATAATGCTCCATGGTTCTGATCCCCAAGTATCCATTTGATCCTTCTGGGGCAGGCACTATGAATGCCTCAGTCCTGGTGATGAAGATGTTCTTTGATTAGACCCTGATTCTGTTCCATGGAACTCTTTTGCCCCTTGTTGTCTATGGCCCCTGGTCTACCCTTTGGGATGTTTTTTCTTGTCAATTATCTTTCTTGGCCGTATCTGAAGTGGGCATTGAAGTGCATACCTCCCGTTCATTTTTCTTGTTGAGTCAGTTCAGTTCTAACTCCTATAGACTCTATGTACAACAGAACAAAACAAGGACTGACCTGAGGCATCTAACACCATCCTCACAATCATTGTTGTTTGAGCCCGTTGTAGCCACTGTATCAATCCATCTCATTGGGAGATTCTTTTTGACTAACCCTCTACCAAGCATGATGTCGTTCTCTAGGAATTAGTCCCTCCTGATAACCTGTCCAAGAATGAAATTGTGCCGTTCTTGTTTCTAGGGAACATTCTGGCCGAACTTCTGCCCTGACAGATTTGTTTGTTCTTTTAAAAAGTCCATGGTATAGTCAATAGTCTTCATCTATACAATAATTCAAAGGCATCGATTCTTCAGTGTTCTCCATTCATTGTCCAGCTTTTACACACATATTACGCTACTGAAAACTGCAAATATATTTTGATTGTTTTATAACTTAGTGACTTTTCTTAGAGTCTTGGTCTTTGTGATGTAATTTCTCAAAAGCTCTCTAGGTTTCTGATCTATTGACGTCTGGTCATTTCTACATATCAGTAATCTTATCAAGTTCTTTCCTCAATATAATGCTTAAGCTTGAGATATGATCACACACACAATCAAAAATCGAACCAGTTATAGTTGAGTCGATGGCAACTCACGACTCCATATCTATCTGGGCAGAACTGCTCCGTAGGCTTTTCAAAGGCCTTTTTTTTTTTCTTTTTCAGATTACCAGGTTTTCTTTTGAGGTTCCTTTTGCTTAACAGCCAAATGTGCTAACCTTTGCAGCACCCAGGAACTCCTCACATGTGGCAAGAGCTCAATAAATACTGGATAAATTTGATTTGGGTTCAAAGGAAATAGCTGGCACTCACCATGCAAGAAGAGCATCCTCTTGGACATCATGATGGTACCAAAAGCAGAGAAATTTGGAGACTTAGTCTAAATCAGAAGTTAGCTCAAGTTTCAAGTCATATTTATTTACTCAGTCAGATTTATTCTTTCTTCTATCAATATCTACAACTATAGAAGAATCAATACATTTGAACTATGCTGTGGAGAATAATATAAAAAGTTCTATGGACTGCTAGAAGAACAAATCTTAGAAGACGTGCACTCAGAATGCTGCTTAGAGTGAGACTCCGTCTCTCATACTTTGGACATGTTATCAGGGGGACCAGTCCCTGGAGAAGGACATCATCCTTGGTAAAGCTGAGGGTCAGCAAAAAAAAAAAAGACTTTCAAGGACACGGAATAACACAATGGCAACATCAGTGGGATCAAATGTTACAATTGTGAGGATGGTGTAAGACCTGGCTGTTTTGTTCTGTTGTGCACAGGGTCGTTATGAATTGGAATCAACTTGATGATACCTAACCACAAAAACAACATATCTACAGTAAGGAAATGACTGCCTACATGATCCAGCCCCATCCTCAGGGCTGGGTAGTTCAGAAACCAGGACACAGATGCCACCCTGGCCTCTGCCCTCAACTCTGCGTGTTTCTTTCCTTTTCTATAAAAGTTTTACATGTGCATTAGAAAATTTGGGAATTACAGATAAGTATGAAGAAGTAGGAAAGAACCCTGGAGGCACTCGGCTCCTTACCAAAAGGTTGGTGGTTTGAACCCAACAGCCACTCTGTGGGAGAAAACTGAGACACTCTGCTTCTGTAAAGACTGCAGCCTTGAAAACTCTATGTTGTTGTTGTTGTTGAGTGCCATAAAGTTGGTTTCGACTCTGTATAGGATTTCTGAGGCTTGAGATCTTTTTGCTGGAGCAGAAGGGTCATCTTTCTTCCATGGAACAGCTAGTGGGCTTTAACCACCAACGCTGTGGTTCACAGTCCAGTGCTTATCCCATGGGCCCACTGAGCTCCCCTCTGGAACAGATCAATTCCGTCCTAAAGGATCACTGTGAGTTGAAATCAATTCAACAACTCATCATTTCCACATGTGTAGTATGTTGCCACATTCCCTTTTCTTCTCAATGGCTCATTATATTGGTAGCATTTATTGTCACTGGAATTTGTTCTATTTGTGTCATCACAAAAACCCTCAGCCAACAGGTTGGTTCTGATTCACATCAGTCATATAGGACAGAGTAGGACTGTCCCATAGGGTTTCCAAGACTATAAATCTTTATGGAAGCAGACAACCTCACCTTTCTCCCATGGAGCAGCTGGTGGACTTGAACTGCCAGCCTTGCAGTTAGCAGCCCAATGCTTAAACAGCCAGAGCCCCCTTTATTAATAGCAAAAAAACAAAAACAAAAAACAAAGCCACTGCCATTAAGTTGATTCTGGCTCACAGCAACACTTTATAGGGTTTCTGAGGCTGTAAATCTTTACAGAAGCAGACAGCCTCATCCTTCTGCTGAAGAGCAGCTGGTGGGTTTGAAATGCCAGCTTTATGGTTAGCAGCCCAATGTCTAGCTCACAGCATCACTTGTTGTTGTTGTTATGTGCCATCGAGTCGGTTCCGACCCATAGCGACCCTGTACAGGGTTTCCGAGGGTGTAAATCTTTACGGGAGTAGAAAGCCTCATCTTTCTCCCGCGGAGCAGCTGGTAGTTTTGAACCGCTGACCTTAAGGTTCGCAGCCCGATTTGTAACCACTACGCTACCAGAGCTCTCCTTTATTAAAATGATACAAAATACTACATAGTCTGGATAATTTAGTGAACTAGTTCTCTGTTCCATCATTATTTTTCTCTTCTAATATGGCCATGAACATCTATTTCTAAATATAAATATTTGTTCATATTTTCATTTCCCCTAAGAGATGCCCAAAATTGTAATTATTAGATCAGAACTTGTTTTGTGTTTTTTTTGTTTTTTTTAAGTTCTTAATGGTTGATACAGTTCCTGATAAAACCAGGCACAACCAGATGAAAACCTTTAGAAGCCTTTTGTTGTTGTATATCATCAAGTCAAATGTGACTCATAGTAATCCTATAGGATAGAAAAGAACTACACAGGGTTTCCGAGTCTATCATCTTTGCTGAGACAGAAAGCTAGTCCTTTTCTCCCATGGAGCCACTGGTGGTTTCAAATCACCAACCTTCCAGTTAGCAGGCAAGCTCTTAACCATTGTACCATCAAAGCTCCTTTAGAAGGCTTAAACCAAATCCAAACCAAGTCCACTGCCATCATGTGGATTCTGACTCCTAGTGACTCTGTAAAACAGATTAGAACTGCTCCCTAGACTTTCTGAGATGACAAATCATCACAGGAGCAGATAGTCTCATATTTGTCCTGCGGAGCAGCTGGTATTGAACCGTCAGCCTTGTGGCTAGCAACTCAACACTTACCACAAAGCTTCCCCTTAAATATTTATCAAACCCTTCTCATGTAATTCATAAAAAAAATGATATCAAAATTTTAAATAAACCCATTGCTGTTGAGCCAATTCTGAGTCGTGGAGACGCATGTGTTAAATAGTACAACTGCTCCCTTTCTTCACAATACCTTTTAGGGAAGCAGATTGACAGGTCTTTCTTCCACAAGTCACTGAGTAACTTTAAACCAACAACTCTTAGGTTAGGAGACAAACTTGAGCTATTTGCACCCCCATGAGCTCGTATTTTCCTTTGTAGTAGTAATACACTTGCAAAAAATGTATATGACTGTTAAGTATTGTCTCTCCTGCTAGACTATAAGCTCCAGTAAGACGGGGACCTTGTCCATCTTATTCATACTACCACCAAGCCTATATTAGGTATTCCATAATTATTACACAGACGGATGGATGATCAATCTACCAATTAAATCACTGAAAGAGAGAGAAGACAAAAACTGTTAAACACCAATCTTCCACACCCCAGCCCACATGCTGCCCCCCCGCACACCTTCACAACCAGCAACAGACAGTACTCATACCCATGTCAGTTTCATTTATTCCTCATACAAATATTTTACAATTTTATTTTTAAATCCTATACACATTCATACAAAGAAAAAAATAAATTTCAGGGTGGAACTTTGGGACCATGGTAGTTTTTTAAAAATCTCTCTGATCATTAGCTACTGAAGACAAGGCAAGAGGCTTAGCAGTCATTTCTGGGGGTCAGTGTTCTCTTCCCATGCAGGGACAGTTCAGAAGAATCCATCTTCCTTCCATCTCCACCTTGTGAGGTAATAGGGAGGAGGGGGATTTTTTCACTCTCCCCTAGAAACATTTTAAGAAGTACAGCAAAGGCTTACAGTAACACTGATGCCCCTCTTTGCAAGGAAACTAGCAAGGTTGTAGCCTCTGACACAACTTTCCAGAAGAGCGAGCTCAACTCCTAGTCACAGATCTTTCTAGGAAGAGGAAGGTCTGCTGCACTCACAACCTGTATCTGCACTCACACTTGCTGTGTCCTCCCACCAAGCCCCTAGAACAGAGCCCTTGACCGATCCCATCTGGTCCACAAATGAGCCTTCCTCCTCCCTCACCCCAAAGCACTCTGCAGTAATTGGCCCTGGCTCCTGAAAACCCCTACAATAATGATACCAGCATTATTGCTTGCAGCATCGTACTCACAGGGAATCTAAGCTCATGGTCAGGAAAGATCCAAGAATGACAGAACTATGAGCACCTCTTCCAAAACTCAGCTCTGCTGAGTCCAATCAGCATTTAATCGAGCAGACCAACCCCTAACACATCTCTTACCAGCCACAGTCATCATTAGAGGTGCATGGTAGGAGGAACTTCTACACACAACTGCCTAAGGAAGCTATACTACAATCAAGTCCCAGGAAAAGTGGGGGAAATGACAGACATTACAAATGTGGCAGGCCCTACCAGAAATGGCAGCTGATGGTAACAGCTACCCTCTAACTTCGGGTCCTACCCTTCCGAAAAGCAGCACCAAGAAAGGGCATGATGAGCAGAGAGATCTGTAGCTGTGTGTACAGCCCTTGAATTACCAAGGGACTCAGAGACCACACAGTTCTGTTTCCTACAATTACGTAGGGACTAGAATATGGACTACCTGTCCCTATACTGAGGCAGCTCCTGAGAGGCTGTACCGCTTGTGGTCATCAGCCCACCCCCGTGGCAGGCCCATTTGGGGAGAGGGAGTCACAGCCAGAGCGGGAACCCCTCCAGGTGGACACTCACAGGGCAGTCCATCCCACTGTCACTGGGGCAGGCCAAACAAAGCTAGGAGCGCGGGCAGATCCCGGGCATCCGCTGCCCCATAGGCATCGCTCTGGCCTAACATAGACAAAGCCAAACGCAGCGTGCTCCAGATGTTCTCTGACATGGCACCGCCTTCACCGCGAGGGCCCCGGCTTTTCCTCTGCATGTTCAGTGCCTCCAGAAAGTGTTCCACAGCCTCCCTGTAGGGAAGAAGAGGAATGAGAGCTGGTGAGTAGAACAGCAATGAGAGGAGGAGACTTGTTGGCATGAATAGTCTACTGACAGGATTTGAGAATGAGGAGCTAGGACAAAAGGCAGGGTGAAAGAGTTCATTCATTCATAACTCAGTAGACACTCTCACCGGTGAGCTCCAAGGTTGATGCAGCTGATGCCCAAATTATAGCGGGACCGGATATAGCCAGGTTGTAATTCAAGGGCCCGGCGGTATGCAGCTACTGCTTCCTCACTCTGGTTTCCATTGGCCAGGGTGGCCCCTAGCTTATTCCACAACAAATAGTCCTGGGATGGGGATGCAGAAGCATGAGGAGCATGAGCTAGACTCAGATCAAACTGTACTGATCCCCCAGCCCCACCCACCTTTACCACTCTGTTCACCTGACATGGATTACTATCCTACTCCTTTCTCAACAGTTCACTGTGTGGCCAAAATACAACCCTTCCCCCAATGCAGACTCTCTTACAACCCGATGCCACTGGCTCCCACCCTTCTTTTCCTTGTCTTCCCAAAGCAGTCAGTTATGGGACACTGGAACAAAACACGAAGGGACATCAAAAACTCATGGGAAAATTTCATTGTCTTTAATTCCACTTTTCCATAAGTTTTTAAGAGCCCTTGTGGACCCTGACTCCAAAAGTCCCAACCACTGATTCTTGACTACAGTGCAGTCATATCCCATATCTCCATTCTACCCTGGAGGCTCACATTGGGACGAACACTGAGGGCAGCTGTGAAACAGTCCACGGCCTTATCATATTCCCCACTGAGATTGAAAAGGACTCCCAAGCCACACTGCACATCAGGGTCAATTGACGTAGGGTCCAGGCGTACAGCTGCCAGAAAGAGTTCTTTTACTTCAAGAAACATGGAACTACATAAGGAGGAAAAAGCACAGAAAAGTAGGTAGATGGGTATGTTTCTATTCCTAAACCCTACAAGCAATTCCTTAGTCAATCAATCATATCCCGAGAATCATTCTAAGAGCCATCCCACCTATTTCCAAATTCTAAGCTAGAAACTTGGTTATTTCTGTTTCACCTCAGCACTGCACTATAGAATGTAGCTCTCCATCAACAAGCTGTTCCTGGATTTTCCATCCAGACTTCCAAAATTAAGGTCATCCTCCCACCTGGAACTTAAGCTGCCATATTCCAACCCAGGAGGCCCTCATACTTACTCAGATAGCAGCGATCCCAAAACCCGCTTGCTGGGGCCCAGTCCTGACGCAGCAGCCCCCTCTTCACTAGGTGCCACCAGATGAGCATAGGCAGGTGAGCAGCGCAGCCAGTCTCTCAGGGTCTCACAGGCCTGGCGCTGCAGGGACTCGTTGGTGAAGCTTACAGCCAGTGCCATTAATGCTGTCCGGTTATCTGGCTTGAGCTCCAGACACCTGTTTTCACAGAAGGAGGCAGATCTGGTGTCAGCAATGGCTGGCACGCATCAATCTCCAGAGATTCAAACCAAACTTTGAAATGCAGATCGATGGCCTCACCTGTCCAAACCCCTGAGATTAAGATTAAGGAATCCTCTGGCATGTGAGTCAATAACAAAGGTACAAATTTGAAAAGTTTTAGTGACCAAGGAACCAATCCCAGCCTCACAAATGAAATCAAAAGTTGATGAAGACATTAGGACCAGTTATCTAGCCCCCTTCCAAATGTCATAGTTTCATCATGAGAACACCCTCTTGTTAGCGGCCAGAAAGGACGCAAGGATCTGGGTCTGGACTTTTGTCATTCGAAAGGCTACTGCTAGTCCTGGACCCAGACCCAGCCCCCATCTCTCAGTGTACTCACCTCCGAAGGGCACTGATGGCTAATAATTCCTGTTCGTTCTCTGCCTGAGTGGTACCCAGATACTGCCAAGCCTAGAGGGAAGTTGACAGAGTCTATCACACTTGCATTCACTTCTCCATCCTCCCTTACTCTGGCTTCCCCTGCTCATCATCTCACCCTCACCTCCTCCACCTAACCCACCTGCACTGCCCCCTGTAGGGCCTCCCTGAGAACTGGAGGAAGCAGTCTCCAGGCTGCTGTCAGAATAATGAGTCACTCACTTCCATGTGCTTAGGATCCTGCTGCACGGCTGCCTCAAAAAGCAGCACTGCATTTGGCAGGTCCCCCTCCTGAAGTCGCTGCAACCCTTCCTCAAAAGGCTGGGGGTGGTCACGCAGGGGGTTCTCCTCTTCAAACTGATACCCCTAGAAAGACGGGAAGAAAGTGAAGAAAGAACTACCACAGGGCAGCAGGAATGAAATGATGACAACCTCAATCTAGGTGAAGAAAGAAAGAAGCTGGAAGCCTCCAAAGGGACACTGGAATTAAATGCTGGCAAATTCTCCAGATCACAAAGGAGATCATCCATAACTAAAGGAGAATCACTGAGTAACATGTTCACCCTGCGATTTCCTGTTCACAATAACAAGGAAGCTGTGCAGGTCCACAGACTCGGGCTCACGCTGGAAATAAGCCTATTTTAGGAAGTCCTAAAGGCCTGCATTTCCACACAGCTGAATTCTCACCAATGGACAGGGCCTGCTTAAAATAATAGTAATGAAATAAGCTCTCCTTCATGATTCAAAGCAGTTTTCCAAGCCCAACTCTAGACTAGAAGTCCAACAGAATAAATTCTTCTGCATTCAGCCTTAACTACAGACCGTCCATGTGTTGTCACCCTACAAGAAACAAAGATTTCTGTCACCTACAAGTCAATTTACTAATGAAAATAGTTTTCTACCTCTTGGAGCTACTGAGAGCATCAAATGAGAATATACACCAAAGCCTTACCAAAAAGTGTAAAATACTATTCATCAATACGTATTATCCTCTATGCTCTGAATACTTCCTTATAATAGGGCACTGTAGGATAAACACTCAATGACAAGGTCAGTTTGAACTGCAAGATCAGTGGTTCAAACTCACCAGCTGCTCCTCAGAAACCCTATACAGGGTCACTATGGGTTGGAACTGACTCTATGGTACCTAACAACAGCACTATGCAGTTCAAACTACTTTGCAGTCTGACACATTAGCCCACATATATGCAAATCTATGCTCATTGCAGTAAATGATGGAAACAACCTAAGTGCCTATCAACAGATGAATGGATAAACAAATCAACGTACATACATACAATGGACTACTATGCAACAATAAAGAATCAGGAAGAGTCCATAAATCATAATATAGATGAACTGGAGGATGTTATGCTTAGTGAACCAAAAGAACAAACATTGTACAGTCTCACTTTTATAAAAATCATGAATACAGAAATCAACATTCTTTGATGGGTCCAGGGATAGGAGAGGGAAGAAGGAGAAATCACTTTCTAAATAGCAGACACTTTAATTTTGATGAATGGGAAAGGCAATACTCAACATGAGGGAAGTCTGTACAACTTATCCAAGATAAATGAAGACACTAAGAAGTACCCAAGGGATAATTTTGGTAACTACTATAATATACAATTCTGCAACAATTATATGAAAAAAAAAAATTTGGTGACACAGGTAGATATATATGCCTGCATGTGAGTTTAGGGTGTGCAGGTACAGGTGAAGGCAAATGTATCCATATGTTTACATGTGCTGCATATATATTCACATATATAACAAATGGGGCCACAGTTACAGGAACTACCTATGCATAGACAAATACCTCATGGGATTGTTTTACTGGGTTTGAACACTTAGAACCATAGCCCTATAGGACAACGTAGTCAACTGGCAAAACATAGTTTATAAACATAAATCTCTACTTCCTAGTTAGGCTTTTAAAAGCTTATGAGAGGTCATTTAAAATACAACTATGGTTTTCTACTCCTCTGAAGCTAAAGAAAATGAAGGAAACCAATGACTTAAAGAAGAAAGTCCACAGGATTAATAACCCACAGGAACCATGGCTTCATCTAGCCTGAGACCAGAGAACTAGATGGCGCTCAGCTACCATTACCAACCGTTCCAGCCAAGGGCATGATAGAAGGTACAGTTAGAAGGGAAGAAAAACGTAGAACAAAGTTCAAATTCCTAAAAAAGGCCAGACTTACTAGGCCAATCGAGACCAGAGGAATCCCTGAGACTATCACAACAGAACACCTTTTGAACTTGAAACTGAAGCCACTCCTGGTGGTCACATTTCACCAAATAATAGATCTGTTTATAAAATAATATCATAACTCATGAACACCATACTGCCTTAGAAAATCAACGATCTTAGACCAAATGTCTACATTTACCCTAATATAAAGATAAAAAGCTAAGAAGAGGCAAGGAAACTAGAAGGATGGAAATAGAACAAAATGATTGAAAGTAATGAGAATATAGACACATTGTGAAAAATGTAACTTATGTCATGAAACAGTTGCATAAAATGTGTTAAGTGGGAACCTAATTTGCTGTGTAAACATTCACCTAAAATACAAGGTCAAAAAGATAAAATATAATGGCCCGTATATGACAGCAGGAGTGATCTGAATGTTCTTTGCATCTTCAATGCTACGAATCAATGCCATAATCGTGCAATCACAGAGATCTCGAAGTATCTTCCATGTAATGTATCTACCCTCCTAGTACTGCTGAAGGAGAATTTTCCTAAATGCACATAGATGGAAAAAACAAAAAGACTACACTGAAGGAATTGTCAGTAACCCACAACATGCACGATGAGGTTGGCATTACTGCTGAACAGCCTACCCAAGCCAGTCACCATGACTGGTCCCTAGTCTGCTCCATCCCAAAATCTCACTGCTAAAAGTCTGTCCCAACACAGAAACTTCCCTCTCAGGGTAAAAGTATAACATTTCTGCTTGGGCTATAAATGTAAGCTGTCTCTGATAAGCCAAAAAAAAAATAGTACAAAGAGACTCATGAATTTATCTGATAATCTGAATCAGATCCATATGTGGAAGCTCCATATGATAAGCACTGGACTGCCAACCACAATATTGGCAGTTTGAGCCCACCAGCCACTCTACAGGGAAAAGATGAGGATTTCTGCTACCGCAAAGATTTACAGTCTCGGAAACCCTATACAAAGGAACCAAATCGATGGCACTTAACAACACTGACGTACAAGGAGTTCTGGTGTGGTGCTGTTGGATAAGTACTGGACTGCTAATCAAAAGGTTGGCAGTTCAAACCCACCAGCAGCTCCAAAGGAGATTTACAGCCTCAGAAACCCTATACAGGGTGGCTGACTGACATAATGCAACATCAGTTAACATAAAGCCAGATAGAATCTAAATTGTTTATTAGTGAATCATAAGGTACAGTATTTTCTTTTCAAATCTTAATTATAAATTAATATACAACCTTAACCATCACACCCAGTTTAAGGCACAGTATTTTTTGTGGAACAGTAATTTTTTTTTTATCCCAAGGTGCCAATGATATCAAATAGGGTCCAAGAATCTAAAAATATAACTATATTTTTAAGTTTTTAATTGAAAATGTATTATACCCAGCATATCATTAATATTGTTCGAAACCGACTCGACGGCACTTAACAACAACAACCACATCATTAATATGAGAGTAATAAATGTTTAAGAAAAATTTTGCACATATGAAACAAGTATATCTACATTTATATCAAAAGCATGGAATTTCTCATCTAAAATGCATAATGCCATTTATAAATTAATAGGACTTATGCAATTTATCAAATTATTAATACAAATTAATAAAAGTACGAGGAGGGCTTCAAAAAGTTTGTGGAAATTAAAAGATCATGGACTTTTTCCACAAACTTTTGAAGCCACATCATACTCTCTCCAGGCATTTCTTCATTTCTCATGTGAATTCTACAGCAGTAACTCATTACAGCAAAATGTAGGTGGGTCCCATAAACTCTCTTCTCTACTGTCTAACAGAATTATTTCAGAGAAAAACACAAAAATAGGAAATCAAGTGGGAATAAATAAAATCCTATTTTTCCTAGCACTAAGTTTTTCATTCTCTCTCATTTGAGATTAAATTAAATTATCCGGAACTCCCTCCTCCAGTTTTGCACAGCTCCCTCATTATAACACAATCCAGCTCCCACATCCCGCTTTACATTGCAGGCCCCTGTTTCTACCTCAGAATCCTTTCTCAACCAGATCTGAGCTGAGACGATGACCCCAGTCTCACTCTCTGTTTCACATTTTTTCAAAACCAAGCAATCTCCCCCTGCCCCTTAAGCTTCAACTCAAGGGGAGCTCAACTGTTAGCTATATCCCCAAGTACCCTACAGCCCATAAGTAGATTTTTTTTTTTTTAATAGTGAAAACCTTGATATCACATAAGCTTTTAAGTTAATTGATGCTGTTGTTAAGTGCCGTCAAGTTGGTTCCAATAAATAGTGACCCTATATAGGGCTTCCCAGGAGAAGCTGGTGGGTCTGACCCGCCAACCTTGCAGTTAGTAATCCAGTGTTTATAGTGCAGTGCCATACCAAGACTCCATCTAAGTCAACAATACATGCTCATTACAGAAAAATTTATGTAAAATTCAATCACCTTCCACTACTGACTAGTGGAATTTAATATAATTCTCTACAAACCCTGAATTGAGACAAGTTGCTAGTACCTATGAAAACAGATTAGAATTTAAAATAAAATTATGAATTAAAAAAGATAGTAAGATGGGGGACTCTAAATTCAACTGGGATAACATAGTCTGCAAAAACAGTGTTCTCCATCCAACTTTGGTGAGTAGTGGCTGGGGTCTTAAAAGCTTGTAAGCAGTCATCGAAAGGGCAACAATTGATCTATCCCCATACAGAGAAAAGAAGAGGGAAGAAAACTGAAGACACATGTCAACAATTAGTCTAAGGACTAATGAACCACACAAACCTCAGCTTCCATGACCCTGAGACCAGAAAAATTAGCAGGCACCACCAACTGCACTAAAGGGGATTACATTAGAAGGTTATGGACAGAATGGGAGAAAAATGTAGAACAAAACTCAAAATCATTAACAAAAGATAAAGACTGCTTAGATCAAGACTGGTGGGACCTCTGAGACTGTGACCCTTAGTCACTCTTCAGGCCTGGAACTGAGCTCACCCCCATGGCTCAATGTTCAGCCACACAATAGGCAGGTCTGTAAGGGGAACAGTAACACTAAGAAGTACCCACTTCATAGAAGAATCAATCATTTGAGATCAAAAGGGTAGCATTTGCTCAAGGACCAAATTCAGAAGTGTTAGGAAAGAGGTAGGAATGGAAACAGGACGCGCAGGGGGATTAAGTGATGTTACAATGTGGAAATTGCAATCAATGAGATGAAAAAGAACGCGTAAGAATTGTTCAATGAAAAACTGATTTGCTCTGTAAACCTTCACACAATTCATACTGAAACGTTAACCAAAAGAAAAAGTCTACCAACTACTACTCCCTACCAAAGGAGTTAGTAATCATCTCAAAATGTCTACAATCTGCCCTCCTAAAAAAGCTCCTTGTTCTGTACTCCAAATGCATCATCTACAAACCTCTACTACACTTATGCCACTGTATTATCATTATTTGGCAAGGGTGATCATACTAGCCTTTATAGCCCAAGAATAAAATAAACACTCAGCTTATGAATAAATGAAATTAATGAAATAAAGGAATAGAAGGAACAAGGGAATGATTCAGACTGCATGTCAGAAAAGGTGTAATCATAATTACTTAAAAGTGATTGCTCCATAATTACTTAACAGTCAGTACCTTTGAAATACAGGATGAAAGAACAGATCATCAAAGAAGGAAATTCTGGAAACTGAGAAGCAAGTTCTTACCTTATCACAGGAAGCAGCTGTGAAGTCATCAAGGTCAGACAACCAAGGGTGAGTCTCAGCATCTCGTTTTGCCATCTCCTCCAACTCTGCCTGCAACTTGTCCCAGAAATCGACATCAGACTGTAAGAGGAGAGGAGATGCAAAAGGGAGATTCATCATGATCTTCCCACCCCACCATCAATCCGTGAGGACTCCCAACGCAGTCTATTTTACATTTCAGTCTATTTAAGAATCATCTGAATACTCTTTTAGAACAGATTTCCAGATTCTAGCCCCAGAGATTTGGAATTGGCATTTTTAAAAGGTTCCTGCCCCACCCCCAAGCAATTCTGACACAGACAACCTAGGAACACCATGAAAAACAACAGCCATCATCTTTGATGTTAATACACCCACTCTTGCCAAAGGAGTGTTATCTACAGGGGTGCCTGTTCTGGCACTACCTGTTCTCACCTCTACAGCTGACTTGGCTCGCTCAAACTCTACATCAAGGGCAGATGTGTTCACTGGTCTCGTGAATTGGTCAACCCAGGCCTCTGATGTACCCTGCGACAAAGAAGATTAGTCAATACAACCACCACCAACTTTTATCCACTAAACATCAACTAAATACCAATGGACTCCTGGTGTGGCGCTGTAGGATCAGCACTGGACTGCAAACCACAAAGTTGGCAGTACCAACTCAACAGCACTTACAACGACAACAAACACCCATTAACCACCCAACCTCAACACTTCTGAGAAGGCGGATATCCTCAGAACCTCTTTACCACCCAACTTAGGATGTGATGCTACCAAGAGAAGCTGCTGGCAGTAACTTCCCCATCTAGGACCACTGAACATTGAGCCCAAGGCCTGGGGCACCAGCTGGCTCTGGAGTGAGACTGAGATGTGACAGTGTCCTACCTGCTGCTGAATAAACTCTGCTGCCCACTGTTCTGCCTGAGCACGGCCCGACCCTGCACCGGATTCCAGGGACACCTGGCCCTCGCCAATCTGCCGCACGAATTTCAGGAACTGGGGCACAGAGACATACATAGACCACTTGGGAGAAGACTTCCAGGTGTGCTCTCTCAACCCCTAAGAGGACCCTGCACTCACCCCTCCCCCGACCATCTCTAGCTGCAGACAAAATATGCCGGCGACCCCAAAAAAAGAGAGCAAAAAGAAAGGGATTTCTGACAATAAAGGTATGAGAAAGCATCAGAAAAGAGAAAGGAGTTAGTCGGCAAGGAAACAAGGAGAAAAATATTAGAAGGGAGACCCAAGATACTAAGTCTCTGTTCTCTGGACAGGAAGGAACAGACTTAGGCTCTCCTCTGCATCTCTTTAAATTATACTTGGGTAAGAGAAGCAAGACACTTGCCTTTCAAGACCAGCTCTGCTGGGTAAAGAAGTTTGGGTTGCAGCTCACCTCAGAGTTAGCCAATTTGGGGTCATCCACCTTGGCCACAAAGTCACTGGCAGTGTGCTGCAGATCCTCTTCAGGATGATATTCATCATACCTGGAATGGGCATGCATAAACTCTATATATTAGTCTGCCATCACCCTCCCTGCTAATACAGTTCCCGTGGGGAGAGAGAGTAGCACTATTCCACACTTGTTATTGTTGTTAGATGCCATCAAGTCGGTACTGACTCATAGCGACCCTCTGTACAACAGAACGAAACACTGCCCAGTCCTGGGCCAACCTCACAGTTGATGCCATGCTTGAGCCTATTGATGCTGCCACTTTGCCAATCCATCTCACTGGGGGTCTTCCTGTTTTTCTCTGACCCTCCACCTTACCAAACTTGACATCCTTCTACAGCGACTGGTCCCTCCTGACAATATGTCCAAAGTATGAGAAACGAAGTTAAGCCATCCTGGCCTCTAAGGAGCACTCTGGCTGCACTTCTTCCAACACAGATCTGTTGGTTCTTTTGGAAGCCCATGGCACTTTCAATATTCTCCTCCAACACTTAACTCAAAAGCATCAATTCTTCTACGGTCTTCCTTATTCACTGTCCAGCTTTCGCATGTATATGCGAAAATACCATAGCTTGAAAATACCATAGCCTGAAAATACCATAGCTTGGGTCAGGCGCACCTCAGTCCTCAAGCTGACATCTTTGTTCTTCAACACTTTTAAAAGGTCTTGTATAGCAGATTTGCCTAATGCAATACATCACCTGATTTCCTGACTGCTGCTTCCATGAGTGTTGATAGGTGATCCAAGAAGAATGAAGTCCCTGACAACTTCAATCTTTTCTCTGTTGATAAGAACGTTGTTTACTGGTCCAGTGATGAGGATTTTTGTTTTCTTTACACTGAAAAGCAATCCATACTGAAGGCTATGGTCTTTGATCTTCATCAGTAAATATTTTAAGTCCTCTTCATTTTCAGCAAGCAAGGTTGTATCATCTGCATATTGCAGGTTGTTAATGAGTCTTCCTCCAATCCTGATGCCACATTTTTATTCATAGAACCAAGCTTCTCAGATTATTTGCTCAGCATACAGGTTGAATAAGTATGGTGAAAGAATACAACCCTGTCACACACCTTTTTTAATTTTAAACCATTCAGTGTTCCCATGTGCTGTTTGAAGAACTGCCTCTTGGTCCATGTACAGATTCCTCATGAACACAATTAAATGTTCTGGAATACTCATACTTCGCAATGTTGTCCATAGCTTGTCATGATCCACACAATCGAAAGCCTTTGCATAGTCAATAAAGCACAGGTAAACATCTTTCTGATATTCTCTGCTTTCAGCCAAGATCCATTGGACATCAGCAATGATATCCCTCATTCCACAGCCTCTTCTGAATCCGGCTTGAACCTCTGGAAGTTCTCTGTCAATGAATGCTTGCAGCCGTTTCTATATTACCTTCAATAAAACTTTACATGCATAGGATATCAAAGACACTGTCCGATGATACCCACATTCCATTGAGTCACCTCCCTTTGGAATGGACACAAATACGGATCTCTTCCAATCAGTCGGCCAGATATTTGTCTTCTAAATTTCTTGGCAGAGATGAGTGAGTGCCTCCTGTGCCACCTCACTTTCTTGAAAAACTTCAATTTTTATTCCAGCAACTCCTGGAGCCTTGTTCTTTGCCAATTTCTTCAATGCACCTTAGACTTCTTCCTTCAGTATCATTGGCTCTTGATCATATGCTACTTCTTGAAACAGTGGCCATATCACCATGAATGCGCCCAATCTCATCTGATCTTGGAAGCTAAGCAGGGTAGGGCCTGGTTAATACTAGGATGGGAGACCGCCTGGGAATACCGGGTGCTGTAGGCCGCTCTTGTTGAGGGCCTACAAATTCCTATTTGCAGTAAAGAAGGGCATTAGAGTGGGAGCTGGAAAGTACTAGCTATAGTCTTTTACGTCTCCCTTTCTCAATTATTATCTTTGCAGAGAGAAGGAACAGACAGCAGCAAGCTCAAGTCTTTAAAAGTGAAAGGGGTGCAAAAGGTACTGTGATTAACTTTTGGTTTGATATAGTTAGGATTCTTGACTTCAAAACATTTGCGAGGTAAATTGAAAGGCATAATAATACAAGTGGAAACCTTCAAAGTGGAAGTAGTGTAAAAGTTGGTTTGAGAATGTAGATGGAGAAGGTTGGGAAAAGCTAAGAAAATTGTTGAACACTCCTTTCACAGGAACCCAGAAAGAAGTAGCTAGACTCACCAGCGATCGGTGGTTGCTGTCCCTTCCGGCTCTCCCAGCCACAGCTTCTCCTCTGACTGTTCCAGATATTCCTCAGCCCAGCGGGCAGGGGACACAGACAAGGGGTCTGCAAGGAACAGAGAGGGGAAAGTCATACCAGGTACAGTGAGGGGCCAGAAAAAGGGAAAGTATTATACTTAATCAACTGATCTTCTTAACAAAGTCAAATCAGATAAAGCCCTGGAGACTCCCTCAGGGATCACTGGTTAAAAGAAAATACAATACTACTAAGTTTCCAACATTTTCTTCAATATCCAGCCAAAAATAAGCCTAGGAAAGAAGTTTACTGAGAGTTGTGAACAACAGACCAAATAAGGTGGTTCAGGATAGGACTAAGAACCAAACCCTTCTCCTCAAAGTATTTTGTTACTGCTGTTAAGTGCTGTTGAGTCTATTCCAAATCATAGCAATCCAACAGTATAGGGTTTCCAAGGAGTGGCTGGTGAGTTTGAACCACCAACCTTGCAGCTAGCAATCCAGTGCTTATCCTGTAGTGCCACACCAGGAAATATTAGAGACCTCAACAAGTGCACCTTGAAGGTACTGAAGGGAACTGGTAAGGAGTTAAAGGAGAACAGAAGAGCCCCTGTCAAGTCTCTGGTCTCTTCTCCTTCTGTCCAGAGTTCACACCATCCCAACAAAAGGAATTGCATTTCATCTTCATATAGCTACTAAGAGAATCTCAGGGGAAGAATGCTAGGCTAGAATTAAAGAAACATGGCCCCACTAGTATTACTGAATGCTTGTGTTTGCTTTTTTCACTTTTTAAATACAATGCAACATACAAACATGAAATTATATTGTATACCAAACTTAAGTGTAATGATTAATTTCTAGATATGAATAGTGGTGGTGGTTATGTGCCGTGGAGTCAGTTCCAACTCATAGTGACCCTGTACCGGGTTTCTAAGGCTATAAAGCTTTACAGGAGCAGAAAGCCTCATCTTTCTCCCACAGAACAGCTGGTAGTTCCGAACTACTGACCTTGCGGTTTGCATACATGCATATAATCACCTCCCAGATCAAGATATCAAACTTCCCAGCCACAACTCATCCACCTTACCATCCAGGGGTAGACACTATTCTGACTGCCATCACCTTTGATTAGGCTTAGTGGCTGTGTTTTCAAGTCAAATTCTAAAAGTTGCCTTAAAAGATGTAGTGACAAAGGGCATTACTGCAACATCAGAATAAAAATATCAAGGCAACAGACTGAATAAGGATGCCGAACTATTTCAACACCAGGCCTTTGCCCTCTACTACCCTGGGACAGAAGAAAAAAAAAAAAAAAGCAATGAGACAGATGATTCCAATAATTCTCAATAACAAGCATAGAAAGACATGAGTCTATGGTGCTCTTTCCCCCTGCCCTGTGCCTACATCTTTACAAACCAGATACTAAAATGGCCATTCTGTCTTTATCCCCAATCTGAACATCTGATTGTTGCTGCTGTTTATACTAAGGAAGATTGATCTCCTTGATGTAATAGAACTATCCATTCCATTTTAACTCAGACTTTGCCTGAATTCTTATAACAAAATAATCTCAACATCTAAGGAAATAATCTCAAAATCTGAAGAAAAAAAGAAAAAGATCTAGACTTTCAAACTATGTCTAACTGTAAATAATAAGCAATATATTACTAATATAATAAAAATTATAGATGGTTAAAAAAAAAAGAAAATGGTGTTGGGGGGGCGGAAGGTGTTATAGGCCCTGTCTCTTAATTTCAAGGACTCCCAACCTTTATATCCAGATTCTCCACACTAGTTCTCATATGCAACATTCCTCTTTCCTTTGCCCTAGTCTGTTGACTTATTGGTGGTTATGTGCTGTGGAGTCAGTTCCAACTCATAGCGACCCTGTACAGGGTTTCTGAGGCTGTAAATCTTTAAAGGAGCAGAAAGCCTCATCTTTCTCCCGCAGAACAGCTGGTAGTATCGAACTGCTGACCTTGTGGTTTGCAGCCCAATTCGTAACCACTACACTACCAGAGCTCCTTAGTGGGGACCTAATAAGAAGATGCTTAGTGCTTGGCACAATAGGGTTAGCACTGGACTGCTAACCGCAATGTCAGAAATTCAAATCCACCAGGCACTCCACAGGAGAAAGATGAGGTTGTCTGCTCCCATAAAGATTTACAGACTCAGAAACTCTATACAGGATCACTGAGTCAGAATTGACTCCATGGCAGTGGGCTGGGTTGAGTTGGGTTAGTACTTAAGCACACTGTATAATTAATACCTCTCAGTCCTCTGATTCCATTGTGTTGAAAACTAAGCATTCCCTCTTCACTCTCCAGTCACTCCCGATTCTCAACTACAGTGTTTTATAAAAACATATTCTGGCTACAAGTGCTCTCCAATTATAGAGAACACTATTTTTGTGAAATGCTCCTCTCAAGGACAAGCAACAGAAAAATACATAAGGCCATCTGGACTTTACAACAGACATGAGGCAAAACTGTTGTTGTTATGTGCCATGGAGTCGATTCTGAGCCATAGCAACCTTGTAGAGGGTTTCCAAAGCTGTATATCTTTATGGGAGCAGAAAGCCTCATCTCTCTTCCGCGGAACAGCTGGTAGTTTCGAACTGCTGACCCTGAGGTTCACTGCGCAATTCATAACCACTACGCTACCAGAGCTCCTTTGAGGCAAAATTAGGAAATTAAAAAAAAAAAAATCCTAGAGATAAGAAACTAAACATACTATCATAAAGTCAGTTTCAACTTAAAGTAACCCTACGAAGTGAGAAGGTGAGAAAGCCATCCTCGGGTAGCTGTAATTTGGAATCTGGCCATAAAAGCCACAAGATCCAGAACTGTGGCACTGGGAACTTGCTACAACAAAGGAGGTAAAATAAAATAACCCAAAGAATACCACTTGACCCTCACAATCTTTTTTGAGACATTCTTATAGAAAATCAGATATATTTGGTTGAAGTAACTAAGACCTAAGGAGAGGAAGGGATTATTCTAGGTCACATAGATTAGCAGAGCTAGAATCAACAACCTAGATACCAAGTATCCAATTCAGAATGCTCACCTCCAGATCACATGTCTTCTCATTGTATATTCATTCCTTCTAATGACCCAGTGGTGTAGACACTCAGCAACTAGCCAAAACGCCTTTGGTTTGAACCCACTATGCACACTGCAGGAGATGTGGCAGTCTGCTTCCATAAACATTACAGCCTTAGAAACCCTATGAGGTAGTTCTACTCTGTCTTATAGAATCACTAAGAATTGTAATCAACTCAGTGGCTGAGGGTGGATAGACAACTCCAAAGTCTTAAACTCAAAACCTCCTACCCTTATCCATGAAGGTTTCTATTTGCTATACAGCACTATGGTAAATGGAGTCCTAGTGTGGTGCTGTGGGATAAAGCACTGGACTGAAAGGTTGATTTGAACCATAAGTCAGCAATTCAAACTCCCCAGTAGCTCCTTGGAACCCTATACAGGGTGGCTATGAGTTGGAACTGACTTGACAGCACTTAACAACACAACAACTATGGTAAATAATGGAGTTCTGGAGTCAGACTACATGCATTTAATCCAATGTACTGATTGTGTGTTTTTAGATGTGTTATTTAATCCCTCTAAGCTTCCATTTCTGTATCTATAAAATAAACATCATATAATAACACCTCATAGGGGTTTTGTGAAGACTAAGTGAGACGATGCAGATATAAAGCAGGGTAATAACTAATGGCTATCAGTATCATTACTACCTGCTTATGGCAAGCCATATCAAAAGTAGATGTGCCACAAAGAGATTGTTATTCCATATCCTCTTCCTCTACCATCCAAGGGAAATCTATTGCTCATCATCCTCTGCTATTGCTGCCCATTGTTTTCTTTTCCTAGCAAAGTGCAGATACACATCTCATGAATACCAAATGAGCCTCATATAACATATTGAGGTTGTCTAAATCCTAAAACCCTGCCTGAAAGATAGGTTTCATCAAGTACTAGATGGAGAAACATTTGGCCCAGAAACTCTGGGGTCAGTCACATTCCATCAAGAAAATGAATCTGGAGGACATTATGATGAGGACAAATAGTATATGAGATCAAAGCTGTAAAAAGTTAAGAAAAGATTTTCTTAATAAAAGAAACAATCAATGATGGTTACAGGGGGAAAAGAAGGGGAAGGAAAATTCTTCATGGACTAGAGGGTTTGTTGTTGTTGTTGTTAAGTACCATGGAGTCCATTCCGATTCATAGTGACCCTGTATAGGGTCTCCGGTGCTGATCCTACAGCACCACACCAGAAGTCTAAGGTTTGTGTGAAAAACTGAGACTTTCTGTCTGGAAAGTGTCTTTGCTACAGTTCAGCTTTTAACTGGAGATAATTCTACAGAGAAGACTTGAACCCAAAGAAAGAAAGACATGGATTTAAATATCATCTCTGCTACTGAATAACTTTGGACAAAGTATTTAGACTTTCCAGATCTTAGTTTCTTCATCTATGAGGGAAATATAAGTGTATTTTTAAAAAGTGTGATCACACAGTATTTGTCTATCTATCCTATCATTTTTATTCTCTAAAGATTGGGTTTTTTCCACACATAAAAAAAGAAAAGCTCCCAATATAAATAGAGTCCTGGTGTGGCGCTGTAGGATAAACACTAGACTGCTCACCACAAGGTTGGCAGTTCAAACCCACCAGCTTCTCCTAGGGAACCCTATACTGGATCACTATGAGTCAAACCAACAACTTAACAACAGAAGTGTTACTGTGAAGATAAATTGTGTTTAAGGATATACTTAGCACTATTAATGAAACCAAGAGTACTTATTGCTCTACTTTACCTCCAGCTCATGGTTGGGAAAGGAGTCATGATAAAGGGGCCGATGGTGGTGGCTGTGTGCCGTCAAGTAGGTTCTGACTCATAGGTAGTTATTCTGTGTAGGGTTTCTGAGATTGTAAATTTTTATGGGCACAGAAAGCCTCATTTTTCTGCCACAGCGTGGCTGGTGGACTTGAACTGCTAACCAATCAAGAACTTCTATTAAAGGAGTTTTCATTGTTAAAAGGGGTTTTTCTCTTTTGTGTATGGAG